ATTTTATTATTAATTTTATTATTAATTATATTATATTTTTTAATAGGCACAATATAGAAAATTACTTATAAAAAATCATATAGAAGCATATGATATAGTACAAGAATTAAATAAGGCTTCTAATTTACTTAACATTTTTAATGCAATCTTATTTACTGCTGATGCATGAAAGGCTGTTATTACACAAACAATTTATAATTATTAGCGAAAAACTGATATTCTTCCTAAATTAGATGAGGATTTAAACTTTGAAAATGGAATAGATGATATTAATACTTATCTTGATCTTGAACGGGTTGATGAATTATCGTTATATAATATACAAAAATTAATTGATCGTCTTGAATTTGAAGATCCGATGGTTGCACAAGAATTTGCTATTATAGACGATAATATTATTCTTGAAACTTTAACTGATGAAGATATTATACAATCAGTACAGCCTACACAAAATAATAATGAAAAAAATGAAGAAATAGTACCTATTCAACCTATTTCTTCTATGACAGCATTATCAGCTTTAGATAATATTTTAAGTTTTTTGACTAATCCACCTGATGGATTTGCTGTTGAATTAAAAAATCTTATGGAAATTCGTTCTTTACGAAGTCAAGTAATGCTACATAATTTTAATAGTAAAAAGCAAGTTAGTTTAAAACAATTTATGAATTATAATAGTAATAATAATATTTGACTTGATAATATATTATAGTATCGAATTATAAAACTTGTTTTGTATTAATTTGTATATATCGATTTATATATTTTTCTTTTATTATATCGTTAAATAAAGATAATTTGATATAATGATATCTTTGATATACCGATATTTTTTAGATAAAACAAAAACATCATTATATCCAGCTTTGACTGTAGTAAACAAATTGGTCGCATTTAAACGGAAGTTTAATGAACTATTCATTGTTAAAGTTAAATAACGTGAGTAAAAAAAAATTGAATACGTATTTATTTATATTTGATTGATGCTAACTGATTTACACGTCCCGCAACTTTTGAAATTAGCTGTAATGTTTAATGTTCACCCGCGATTTTTTTTTAAATTTTTTTTTATAATCGCGCGTTCTAATATTTAATTTTATTTTAATATTTTTAATTATTTTTTTTTAATTTGCATATATATATTCCCTATTTTTTTAATTTAATTTATTTTTATCGGATTTAGAGTGTTCTCAAGCACCTATCGATTAATCAAAATCGAAAATCGATAATCGCGATTAAACAATCCCTAGATCGATGATGATTCTTATGAACCAACAAATTTTGGACGAAATATTATTATTTTCATTGAATGAATATAAAATATAACGAAGAAATTTTTAAAATCGAAGCAAATAATATTAGTGTGAAAGGCGGGGCGAAACCTTTAAAATGAGTTTTGCCCCGCAATGTTAAAGCCGATAAGAATGATACAATATGCAAGCTTCTTTTAAAAGCTAACATTAAAAATGAAATTCCACGCGTAAAAAATTAAATTCTCGCAACAGTTAATAACTATGCTCAAATAGAAGACATACCAAGAATATTTTCACAAAATTTAAGAAAAATTTAAAAGTAATTGGATCGTACACGATACTGTGTATCTCTTAATTTCTTTTGAATTTGTCAATACAATTTTTATTTCTTTATAATAAAATTTTCTTTACATTTTTTTTTTTATTTATACAATAAATAATATTCTAAATAATCAAATAAATAAATACACTTTTTTTTTTAAAAAAAAAAAGGGGGGGAATTAAAGCTAAATAAATTTACAAAAAAAGAGTAAATTATATGAATTATCTAAATAAATTATACCCAATATATATATAAAAATACAACTCCCTCCCAAATTAAACATTATATTTCATCTCTAATGTCTTATCCTTGCCATAAACTCTTTCATATCCATTGTTTACGTTTCCACTCGCACTTGTGTTTGTATTTCCGTGTTCACTACCAATCAGTTCATAAGAAATACCACTACTACCGCTTCTTGTTCTATTATTATTAGAAGGACCAGCGACACCAATACCCATTGCATCATCAAATGGCCCAAGAGAAGAATTGTATAAAGGTACACTACTTCTTCTTTCCAATGGTTGATATTCACTAACGTCATTATTTCGTCTCCCACCATTATTATTATTACTTCCACCATCAACTCCAACGTTAACTCCACTATTAAAATGTCTTGAATTATCTTGATGTCGTTCTTGGCTCAGCCAAGAAGAAGGTGTTCGAATTGTAGTTTGATAAACTTGATCTAAATTCGTTAAAACATATTCCACTGTTCTTATTTCAGTATTATTATCAGGTAAACTGTCACTTCCATTACCATTATATTCATCACTATCATTATTTAAGTTTGTGTATTCTGAGGAAGAGATCCGTTGATTCATACGACGATCTTGATAACGTAAAAACATATGATAAGAGCGACCGAAAAATATACAAATCCATAATAGAGAAGCAGAAACCAAATTCAAAAATGGAATGATACTATAATTAACAGAATATATTATATATATTATCTATGAATAAAAGAGGAAGTTATTATCAATTAAAAAATTTTTTTTAAAAAAATAATAAATAATAAAAAAAGTTTCGTGGCTTAATTTACTTACTTGAATGATTAATTGAGGAGTATCTTCAATAATAAAATTCCATATACTAACTATAAATATCCATTTCTCAGTACCCGGAGAAATAGGAGCATCAAAAGCATCTAAACCGGCCAGTTTAGAATTTATCATGGTTAACGAATCCACATCAGCGATTGAACAAACGGTAAATATAGCGGCGACGTTATGGTAAGTTCTAAACCATTTATAGAACATTGTATTATTTGATAATTCTCTTATTAATATGAAAAATGTGATTAAAGTATTAAGTCCCAGTGGTATAATAAACGTAAGTAGACTAGAAAAAGAAGAGAAAAAGATTATTTTTTTTTTTTATTTTTTTAGGGGAAGGCGACGATTAAATTTCCATGAGATTGTTGTTTACCTTGGAATATATAAATGCAACACATCCCTCGAGTGAACCAAAACGAAAGCCAAGTCCAATCCAAAGTCCAAGGCGATCAACAATACTTTGAATGCAACAAAGCAATTTCCCTGTAAAACAAAATAATATCTGTTAATATATATATCATTTACCGAAATACCATAGTGTTTGTTTACTAACGTCTTCATATTTCTTATAAGAAAATATAGCCAGTATACCAAGTAGTAATAACGTTGCACCAACTGCTAATAATTTAAAGTCATATTTTTCCCATACGTTCCCTAATAAATAAAGACAATTTAAATTAATATTATTAAAGTCATAAAATTCCTTATAAGTTAGAACATACTTTTCCGTCTAAAACCGTAAGTGCTATCTAACAAAGCAGTATATGGATAATGAGAAATAGGAGAGATTTCTCTATCACGGATCATTTCATCTAATGTTTGAATGATATTATTAACGCTAATATCTTGTTCATCCTTTACCGCTAATATTCTAAATTTTAATAATATTTGTTTTGAATCAACATCAGGATCCCATTGACTATGACTATTTGTTCGCATTCTTTCTTGCGGTACAGGTACACATTTAGCTAAATCATGTAATAAATTTTGCACGAATTCAGATTGTTGATGAAAATCTAAATTATCAAAATTTTCGGACGCATCGCTTGTCAAACGAACCAATGCATGTTCTTGTGCTGTTATGACAAAAAAAAAAAAAGAGTGAATATTAGTAAAGACATATTTTCGATTAAATTATGACGGAATGACCTACATTTAAGCTCTTCTTGTATACTTTGCTTATTATCGGTAGAAAATCGCCATATATTAGAACTGATTCCCATTAACGGTTCTTCATAACTTAAATCTTTAACGGCATCATCATCAATAACAACAGTATATTTACTATTTGGCATATTAAATGTATGGTCTAATACATTTAATGTAATGGTTCTTTTATCTGGTGATAGCGTTACTTTCGGACTTTTTGTTTGATAACTTTGTCTTAAAATTAAATTATCTTCATCGTCTTGTTCATATTGAAATATAGATATATTCCCTGTTGATAATAGTATCGTATTGCTATAAGTAATATTAATAGAACGCGTTTCTGTTTCTATCTCCGTTGAAAAAACACCATCGATTGTTGGATTTGTTGCATTAATATTCAGATTATTATATTCATTGACTATAAAGTAAAAAATGATTAATAATAACCAGTCACGAATAAAGGAGAGTGACTAATAGTACACTTACCGGATGGTTGTGGTAAGTCGTTAATGGTTGCAGTCATAAAGGTCCAAGTGTCCGGATAACTAGTTTCTGATTGGTAATATCCATCAAAAAACATCCAAACGGTATTATTTGGAAATACACCATGTGGAGTAATCGTTTGACCATACATTTTAGGGCAATCCCATATATCATGCAACTTTCCATTACTATCATAAATATTTCCCGTAAAATTTACTTCAACATTATTTGAATTTACGCTAAATATATAACCACCATTATGTAGAGGATAAATATAATCAACTAAAGAACCATCAAACGCGATTTTAACTGTATTTTTTGTACTTCCGTTTGAAAGAAATTGAATTTTAACATAACCAATACTACCATCAATATGTTGTATCCTGATAATACATGCCAATCCCGGTAAATCGTATGCATAATCGCACACTTCTATATTAATATCAATAACTTGTGTTGCTATCGAATAAATTACCGATGGTTTTGTGATTTCTCCCGTATGTGGCCTTATAAATTTTACAGTAACCTCCCATAATGGTACTATTGGAACCTTTTCTACATTTTCCGTTGCATCTGGCTTCTGTCCTGCAGAGACAATTCCGTATCCGCCGTCTAACGTAGGAAACACTTTGTATTTCTGTCCAGATAATTCTGATTCTTTTGTCGTCTCTTGAGTAAATAAATTCTCGTCATTACTAAAAAAAGGAAAAAAAGGATTGTTAATTATAAATTTACAATCTCCTGGTTATGTTTAAAGATTACTTACGGAGCGGAAAAGTTTGTCCATCGTAGAATATTATTTGGAATGAAATTAATCCATATAAATCCGCGTTGTGGATTAGAATTGATTATCGCTTCACCTAATTCTGATGTGTCCGTGGATAAAGTTAATTCTCTAAAAAAAATAAAAAAAATAAAATGAATAAATTAAAGATGTGTAATTGATACATAATTTATTGACTTCTCACTTCTAACACCTTTACGGTTACCTGAATATTTGACCATCCCAATCCACAATTAAACCCATTTCTTGACGCGATTCGTTTACAATTTGTACATATCGAACCAAAAAGAATCGACGTTCGAGCGGATATATTTCAATTAAATCTTTAGTATCATTTCCCTGTTTACAAAAATTAAAATCGGGTATTGCATAATCGAAGTTGATGGGTTGCATTCTATTATCCTTATAAACTAGTCTGATATTTAGTTTTGGCTCATCGCATGTAGAATTTATATGATTTTCCAATCTTACAATTATTGGTCCATTAGGATAGTAACTTTTCGCACTATGTACATGAGAATCGTAAGCCTCTACATAAGAAATTACTCGATATTCAGGTATAATTTTTGTGCTTTTAGGTCTTGGCGATTTCGATGGCGTATAGGGCATTTTCTCATTCTTTTGTCCCTCCCCTTGATTGTCCTTATCATTCACTTTTCCTTTTTCTTCCTTCTCCTTCTCCTTCCCCTTTTCTTGTTCTTTGTCTTTCTCCTTCTCCTTTTCTTGTTCTTCGTTCTCGTTCTCCTTTTCTTGTTCTATGTCTTTCTCCTTCTCCTTTTCTTGTTCTATGTCTTTCTCCTTCTCCTTTTCTTGTTCTATGTCTTTCTCCTTCTCCTTTTCTTGTTCTATGTCTTTCTCCTTCTCCTTTTCTTGTTCTATGTCTTTCTCCTTCTCCTTTTCTTGTTCTATGTCTTTCTCCTTCTCCTTTTCTTGTTC